GTATGCCGCATTAAGAACATTCAATAACATCTGATTTGTGATGTATTTTGGTGACTTGTGGGCTAGGTTCTTCTTCCGAATGACTTCTTTCCCCTACCATCTTTTAATATCTCTGTATATCTATTTTAATTCTTTTTTGAGACATTTCACTATGAAGCCCAGGCTGCCCTGACCTTGATGCTCCTCCAGTCTCACTGTCCATGTGGCTGGCAGGAGTGTAGGAGTGTATTTTAATACTCTTTTTTTCTACATTGTCACTTACAGTGTGCAATTTTTGTTACATAGAAGCTTTAAGTATTTATATAAGCAGTCTGTTTTATCTATACGTTGCATTACGTTATTATTTTTATTAGATAAGCTATATTCTCTTACATCCTTATCTAGGATGTATATTTGTGGTGTTAATTTTCACATCTAGTCAGGATGAGTTAGGATTTGCGGCAGTAACAAGCCGTTTCTAAGACGGAACGTCTAGTCATCATCCCTCCATGTCTGATCTCGGGCTGGCATGGAAGCCTTTGCGCCTCATCATTTCTGGGATATTGCAGACAGAAAGGCAGATCTGGACCTGGTTGTTCTGTCCCTGAAGTAGCACACTGCTCCAGCTACCAGTCTCTCTCCACTAAGAGTTGAAATACAGTGCCTCACTACTGGGTTAACCTGTGCCCCTTACAGCTAAGAAATTTTCAGAGTTGTATTGGATATGACATCTATAAATTGTCTCTGCCATTTGTCCAGTTTTCTTGTATAGGTTATAATAGTCCCGATAAGTGACTTGCTTTTCTGTGATTTTGCAGTATCTTAGAGAGTATTGGAAATATTTATTAAACAACAACAACAACAACAATCAAATAGCACATAGACCGAGATGGGTAATTCTATTTTGAAGAGAAAGACAGATGGTGTTAACTTTGGGCTTTAATAGTTTTAGGATACATTTAAGGGCCGTCAAGAAAGCCAGGTCCCCATAAGCTGTCCTCTGACTTCCAATGCCTGTTGTGGCACATGTATACACAGGGGGGGTGGGGGTGGGAAGAAGGAGGAGGAGGAGAGAAAGAATAAATATTTAAAAAGTAAAAGAAGAAAATTAAAGTTCTTTTATTCTAAACTTTTCTCTTTTAGAAGAAAGCATGTATGAAAAGTTGACCTGCTCCAAGCCAAATGTACACCAACTACCAACTTTCTTTCTTTCTTTCTTTCTTTCTTTCTTCCTTCCTTCCTTCCTTCCTTCCTTCCTTCCTTCCTTCCTTCCTTCCTTTCTTTCTTTCTTTCTTCTTTCTTCCTTCCCTCCCTCCTTCCCTCCCTCCCTCCCTCCCTCCCTCCCTCCTCCCTCCCTCTCTCCCCCCTTTCATTCTCTATTTTAGACAAGAGCTCATTGTGTATCCAAGCTGGCCTCAGGCTCACAGCCCTCCTACCTTAGTAGGTGTGCTAGTGTTGCAGGTGTGTGCCCCTGTGCCAGGTGCCACATCAGATACCTTGGATCATGTCTGACATCTCCCTAAAGCAGCTTCTCCTGTGTTGAGTGAGATATGATGGCAATGTCTGTCTGTCTGTCTGTCTGTCTGAGAACCCTGCCTGTGGCAGTTGAGACTGACCTTCAGACATACTCTGAAAGCACAGTCTGGCCAGCACAGCAGCGGCTGACCCTCACTGGACCCTGGGTATCGCCCTATAGTTTGTGTGATCTCGAGCTCAGAACTTCAGCTGGTTGAGTACGATATGGGGAACAGCTCCTTCTTCTGAGGCCTCGGGGAGGTGGGGTGGTGGTGGGGGCTGAGTTCAGAAGGCAGCGTGTGATGGGTAGTGTGGATTGTTACTGTGTTGGACCATTCATGGACACACCCACTTTCCCACCTTCCCCTCCTCCCCAGGACTCTGCCTCTCCAGCCTTCCCCATCTGTGAAAGGATGACTAAGACGGTGTCTGTTGGGGAAGTTTTTACGTTCAGGCCTTTGAAAAGAATGGTTTGAATGTCTGGATGTGTTTGTGTCCTCCGGTCTTTTCTAACAGAGAAGCAATAATCTGCATCTCTCCATGGTGATGTCCTGTGGTTTTCAGGGGTGTTTCTGCCCTCTCTTCTGGGGTTCCCACACTCTGAGTGCCCATCTCACGGGTGTGCTCCAGCGTTTCTGTACCAGGGATGCCTGGGATTCCCTTGTGCAGGGGAGGACTACCCTCCTCCTGAACTTCAGCTGCTCCACTCAGATCTGCTCTGGGACTGTGCCTTACCTTGTCCTTTCCTGCAGGACCACGTCCCGTGCATCTTCCCAGGCACAACTATCTGGACAAGTAGTGGGAAGTGAATGGTTTTACACTGCGGTTTTAGTGACGTCACCTAAATAGTGAGACAGTTTCCTGATTGTAAAATCTGTCTCTGCGACTTTTTCAGCGACTCTTGCCAAGGACACCAGTAAAGCAGTAGTTACTTAGACAGCCAGTTTGAACTTTATGCTAGGGAAAAGGGTGAGTGATTGGGAGAAAGACACTTCTCAGAGAGTAGTGGAGATCTGCTTGGATTGGGAACTGCTGCCCCACCCCGCCCTTACAGTGACAGCAGCCACAGCCTCTTTGCACCCGCATCCTGGGTCTTCTTTTACATTTCCCAAGACTGCTTGCTTTTCCGCTGCTGGGGTCCTTTAGCGCTGCAGGACTCAGGGTCCTGCCCAATGTCATCTTGTCTCTCTGTAGCTCTCTCCCAGCTGTGTCCAGCTCTCAGACTCACATTTGCCTCAAGACTCTAGACCAGTGGTTCTCAACCTGTCTGTTGCGACCCCTTTGAGGGTCAAATGACCCTTTCACAGGGGTTGCCTAAGTCCATGGAACATTACGATTCATAACAGTAACAAAATTACAGTTAAGAAGTAGCAACAAAAATAATGTTATGGTTGGGGGTCACCATAACACGAGGAACTGTATTAAAGGGTCGCAGTGTTAGGAAGGTTGAGAACCACTGATCTAGACCTTTCTGAACCATGTCTGGTTATGTGCATGAGCCCATATAAGCCACGCATGCAGAAGGTGTAGGATTCATTTCCCCCAGACTGCTCAATCCTGTTTCCTGGTCTTGACTGACCTTGTCATCTCCTACCAATCAATGGCTCTTGCCTTTTCTCAGGTTCTCATGGCTTAGCCTATCCTGACATCTGATTGGTCCCACACGCCCCAACTGTCCCAGCAATCTAGGCTCTCTGTTGGCCCTGGGGATTGTAACAGCAGCCTTGTACACTGTCTCTACTTTGTTCCCTTCCAAGGCGGTGGGGGGAGGGGTCACAGTGCCTTCTTTATTAAGACGTTTTCAGACTTTTCATATGGTTATTAAATGCGTACATCCAGAGTGCCCTTGCCGAGCTCGCCCCTAGTCTCCCTGATGCCCCCGTTTGTCCCTAGGATGCTTGTTCCTTAGGATGCCTTTTCCCTTAGTGGTCAGCATGGGGCTCTCATTTCTTGGGTTACAGGAATCTGTACTGGACACTTTTTTTTTTTTTTTAAAAAAAAATATAGTCTTGTGTGCCAAAAATTGTGATTGTGTGGAGTGAGGCCTGATCTCAATGTCCTTGATGTAAAAGACCATGGCGTGAAGAGTAGGTGATTGCAAAAAGTCCGTAAGATTTCATAGGATGCTTCTATCACAGTGTCACTTCCTTTCTGTTATATAAACACGGGAAAGGAGAAGAGGGTGAGCAGTGGAGAAAACAGCCCTCGGGTGGTGGCACTCTGCCGGCCCTGGGGACTACTGGGGACTACTGTCCTGGCCATCCAGTCCCTTTGTCACCTGCTTTTGACATTCGCCTTCAAGCCTGTTCTCGAAATGCTTTTTGTGCAGCTTCTAAAGGCGCTCTGACGTCTGCCAGTGTTCCTGTGTCTGCATGCCTTTTCTGTTAGAGGCTAGTTACCCCGGGAGAGGGTCAAGACTTGGCTTCCAGCCTGCTTGTGTTGTTTCTGTTGCAAATGCTCTATAATTTTTTTTTTTTGTCTAATGAAGACATATTTGAGAGAAATTATTGAAGTTCTTGAAGGTTTGTAGGTCTCGGAATCATGTGAATAGATGTCATTAGTGTCAAGAAGAGTAGTTTTTCTGATGTCTTTACTTTTGGCTAATTCAAAAACACAGTTAAAACTTGAGGAGAGGCAGGTGCTAGAACCCGCTAGGAAGATGTTTGTCTTGCACCAAATGCGTTTCAGAGGACAGTGGTCTCAGACAACACACACCAGGGTAGGCTGTTCCCTTCACAGTAAGGAAGAGCCTGCTCGTCTGTACTGCAGGGAGAGGGAGCTTTATATACAGGCTTCTAGAAGGATTTTCCTGCACATTTCATGAGAATGAGTCTTGTCAGAGAGAATGGCAGCTTTCCTGAAGCCTTCACATTCCACAAGAGACCCTTGTTCTCAGGCCTTGTGGGTGGAGAGCGAGCAGCCTCAGGCGTGCCTCTGCCGGTGAGGAACGTGGCTCTGAGCACTGTGGAGAGTTCAGCCCTGCTAGACTTGGGAAAGGTGTGGGATCCCTGCCCAGCTCACATCCGGGGCTCTGTGTCTTACCTGCTGCCCTTTACCTTTGCTGTAGTGGCGGTGTTTAGGACTACAGCAGTCCACTAGGCTCTCACCTCCGTGGACAGTCCCGTGTCCCCATCCCACTGAATCTGTAGCCTCTGGGGACTTAGGGGAGCTTGCCCTGAGCATTGTGGGAAACTTGGAGCTTTACTTTCCTACCAGTTGTTAATACCTGAGCCATCTAAACAGGTTCCTCTGTCCCTTAACCCAGAGTGCCCTGTGCTTTCCATTCCTGTCTCCTGCCAGGTGCAATGCAGGAAATGTGTGTTGACCCATCACTTAACCTTGAAGCTCCTCCCTGGGAAATGCCCCATTTATTGGTTTGGGGTTTTTTGTAAATGAAAAGAACTTCGTTTTTATATTAACTGTGGTATTTTTGTCTTTAGAATTTAAATGTAACATTGAAGGATTCCAGTCTATTGCTAACATACGATTTTAATTTTTCTTTACAGGTCAACTTTGTAGTGTGCCAACTCTTTGCCTTGTTAGCAGCCGTTTGGTTTCGAACTTATCTACATTCAAGCAAAACTAGCTCTTTTATCAGACACGTAGTTGCTACCCTTTTGGGCCTTTATCTTGCATTTTTTTGCTTTGGATGGTAAGTAATTATTTTGATCATGTTTAAATGAACGCTGTTAGGTATATTTGAGAATTGAGTGTGTAGAGGGATACATTATATAGGATTTTGTTTTGAAACTTACAAAGTTTTCTTTCAAGGCTAACTTTCAAAATCTTTACTTCTAGTCTAGAAACAATGGATTGGGAATGGGACTCTCTCGAGCTTTGTCGTAGGGAAGATTCACTGTTTATAATTTATGAACGGGGCCCAAGGAGGACTTACAGAGACAGTCTGGTGTTAAGTAGCTCTTTTCACCCATCTTGAAAATATTTTATGCTGAAACAAGCAATAAATGGTGTGTTGTTTGTCCCTTTGGGTTTTCTCTGGGCTGCTGGCTCTGGGAAAGCCTGTTTGATTGACGCTCATACTGTGAGCCATGAAAAGGCTTTTGTGTGTTCTCGGTGGAGTAAAAATGAAGAGAGAAAAGTTTTTACTCAGGATCCTTCAAACGTGTGTGTGTGCGTGTGTGTGTGTGTGTGTGTGTGTGTGTGTGTGTGTGTGTGTGTGTGTTATGTGTGTGTAGTGTGTATGTGTGTGGTGTGCATGGTGTGTGTGTAGTGTGTGTGTGTGGTATGTGTGTGTAGTGTGTGTGTGTGTAGTGTGTGTAGTGTGTATGTGTGTGGTGTGCATGGTGTGTGTGTAGTGTGTGTGTGTGGTATGTGTGTGTAGTGTGTGTGTGGTATGTGTGTGTAGTGTGTGTGTGGTATGTGTGTGTGTGTGTAGTGTGTGTGGTGTGTGTGTGTGGTGTGTGTGTAATGTGTGTGTGCATGCACGCATGTGCATGCGTGTGGTTAGTCCCGTCTTCCTCGCTGGGCTAGCCTGAGAGCCTACAGTTTGGAGCGCTGCCTGAGCTGCTTCCTGGCACCTGTGGGCACGTCTGAATGAGGAGAGCCGGGCAGGAAGGTGCTCAGTCACTCTTGGCAAGGCAGCAGAGACTCTGTATCGAAGGGCTTCCTGGTGACTCACAAATTTCCCTCCTGGGAGAGACTCCCGAGTGCCCACCATTCGCAGACGAGGGCTCTGGGCTTGCTCTTCTGCAGGCTCCTGTTGGCGCTGAGAAGACTGTGAGAGAGCTGGGTGTGTCCTCACTCCATCTGTGCTCTCGAGGTTTCCGTGGTGGCTGGATAATGGTGCCACTCTTCGGTTAACAGTGTGCTCAAGGCTACACTCCTGGGATTTCTTAATCGGCCCTTTGCCTCCAGGAATTGCAAATATTTCCTAGGACCTCATGAAAATCACCTGAGTATAATTTATCCATGTCTACCACAAATCAATCAACAGCATAATTTAATCCATCTCTACCGGATCGCCCTTGGCTGGCTGGCTGATAGCCCATGTACTGTTTGCCTGTGATGGGTGTATGCAATGTTGTAGTTTTGCCAGGATGTCTTAAGATCGAAGTATATGGGCCTTTTAACTTCTTGGATGGCATTCAGTGTATATCATCGAAGTTTCCTGAGGTTTCTACTTGTGGGAGGTAGTGGATGTTCTTAAACATCATAGAACTTTTCCAGCATAGACTAATGGGCTGGACGTAATTTGCTCGTTACCCAGCTTCAACAGTTACTAACATCTCACCCTTCTTATTTTATCTTCCCCCCATTTTTAGAGCACATTGAAGTGTATGTCAGTGTATACATTCTCTCTTCAATAGCTGAGTACCCCGTGTGTGTGTGTGTGTGTGTGTGTGTGTGTGTGTGTGTGTGTGTGTGTGTGTAGCATGTTTTCCTAAGGAGTGGAGAACACATCTAGCTCAGATTGACCTGGGGGCCCCCTTGGCTTTGTGCTCTGTGGAAAAGCAGGTGGGTGCACTGGGCAGGGAGGGTGAGGTGGGGCAGAGTGAGCGAGTCTCTGCTGGACTGTCCTTGGCTGAGGTGTTTCACCGTGTTAAATCTTCATGGATACTTAGAACACAGCGTCGCAGTTACCAGGCTTTAGCTCAAGGTTCCGTTGTCTTGAGTTTCAAGTTACGTACGGTAGCAAGAGACTTAGTTACTTCATTGGGTTCCTCCTCCTCCTCCTCCTCCTCCTCCTCCTCCTCCTCCTCCTCTTCCTCCTCTTCCTCCTCTTCCTCCTCCTCTTCCACCTCTTCCTCTTCTTCTTCTTCTTCTTCTTCTTCTTCTTCTTCTTCTTCTTCTTCTTCTTCTTCTTCTTCGTTGGAATTCTAGTTATTAGTTAGAATTAGTTAGTGGTAAGTATTGTTTATTCTTTAGCTTTGCATTTGTTGGTGCTTTTTTGTTTTTTGAAATTTTTTTTTTTTTGACTCAGGCAATCTTATCACTGATTTTTACCACTTCCCTTTGGAGGACATATTTGCTCTGTAAATATAATTGCTCACTTCACCTACTTCTGTTTGCCCCTCCCCTTTTTTCTTGGCGCCTACAAGCTCCTTATAACAATTATTATTCATTCAAATATCTTTGGTGCTTGCCGCCAAGCCTGGGGACCTGAGTTTGATCTCTAGGACCCAGTGGTGTAAGGACAGAACTGAATCCTGCCTGTATTCCTCTGACTTCCAGAGGAATGTGGGCGTGCACATGGACACACACACACACACACACACACACACACACACACACACACACACACACACACACACACACCAGCACTTCCAGAGGAATGTGGGTGTGCACATGGACACACACACACACACACACACACACACACACACACACACACCAGCACTTCCAAAGGGACGTAGACGTGCACATGCACACACATGCACACACATGTGTACACACAACAGCACCAACAGACAAATGCAGTAGAAACTGTCCAGGGGAGGAGCACAAACAGTGCTTGTTAGCGTGAGCAGGGCTGGGCTCAGACTCAGGCGTCCGTTGGTTCCAGGGGGAGTGTCTCTGATCTAAAGTCGGGATTAGAAGTGTCTGACTTTGGATTGTTTGTGTAGACTGGACTGGTTGGAGGTCAGTCATAAAGAAGCCTGCACTCCGTGACACTCCGGAATGGGAAGTTTTTGAGTGGGTTTGTGGGTTAGAGATGCTCAGACTGTACCACCATTATCCAGTTGGTTAGGGCGGGCATCTCCCCGTTTATCCAACCTCTTTGTCACCCTTTTCCATATAGTACCGAATTAGCCTCTTACTCCTGTGTAGTTGTTTGTTTTAACTCTTTGCTCTTTTGGGGGCCCACCACCCAGCTCCCAGATAAATCACACGCAGTCTTATTACGACTTATGAATGCCCGGCCTTAGCTTGGCTTATTTCTAATCAGCTTTTCCTAATTATACCAGCTTTTCTTAAGATTATACCTTTTGTCTCTGGGCTTTTAGCTTTCTCTATTCTGTATACCTTCTTTCCTTCTTACTCCGTGGCTGGCTGGGTAGCTGGGTGGCTGGGCCCTTGCACCCTCGTCTCTTCCTTTTTCTCAATCCTTGATCTTTTCCTCCCAGATTTCTTCTATTTATTCTGTCTGCCTGCCAGCCCCGCCTATCCTTTCTCCTGCCTCCCTGTTGACCGTTCAGCTCTTTATTAGACCAATCAGGTGTTTTAGACAGGCACAGTAACACAGCTTCACTGAGTTAAACAAATGCAACGTAAAAGAATGCAACACATCTTTACATCATTAAGCAAATGTTCCACAGCATAAGCGAATGTAACACATCCTAAAATAATATTCTGCAACACTCCTGCGCCTCTCTCTAGACTTTCCATGTGTTACCTCATAATCCCGGACACCTGAAGTGGCTAGAGTGTTCTTCCTGTGTGCGTGATACTAATGATGCCATGTGGGGTACTCAGTGAGGGGCAGTGGAAGGGATGTCTGAGTAGAGTAGGGACCTGCTGCTAATTGTGGAGTTCACAAAACGGATGAATCCAGAGCGGGTCAGTGTTCGAAGCTTGATTTACCACAGCAGCAGAGATTAGCATGGCAGGCTGTTGCCTCACACCCTAAAGGCAGCTAAGCATGCCGGGGGTGGGAGCCTGAAGGCTGTCAAGCCACGAGGGCTGGCGGTGTTTGAGGAGTTTTACTGTTGACTTCAAAGTCTTTATGTCCCAGGGAAACTGACCTGGAAAAGGAAACACTTTCCTCAGTAACCCTCAATCAGACATGCTCCTCCACCTTGTTGAAGATTCTTTGAAGTATTAAAAGTCCTTAAAGGTACCTAGCAGTTCCCAACAACGTGCCTAAAGGTCGGTTAGTGGACTGTTGGTGTTGACAATGAATAGGTGGATGATATTTCAATTAATTACTTTGAAGTTTCATTCTGTTTTCATTTATATTGGCGTACGTTTTCCTGTCTCCTCATAGCCTTCTGATTATAGCGGCATTCCAGGTCACTGGTTTCTGGATGTGTGTTTGTGGTGTGTGTATATATACCTGTGTGTGTGTGTGTGTGTGTGTGTGTGTGTGTGTGTGTGTGTGTGTGTGTGTGTGGAGATGCAGATCTGTCTTGGGGCCTACTCCTTATTTTTAATATGTCTGTAGAAAAATGTGTAAGCAGTGTTTCCACATTCATATTGTCTGATAGTCTGTGATGAAGCTAAAAAGTAATTTTATTTTATTTTATTTTAAAGATTTATTTATTTATTTATTATGTACACAGGAGAGGGCGCCAGATCTCATTACAGCCGGTTGTGAGCCACCATGTGGGTGCTGGGAGTTGAACTCAGGACCTCTGGAAGAGCAGTCAGTGCTCTTAACCTCTGAGCCATCTCTCCAGCCCTAAAAAGTAATTTTAATAGTATACTAAGAGCTTAATAATTTGTATATAGCTGCAAAAGTTTACTATCAATCACGCCGTCAGAAAGGGGAGTTGAAAGAGGGCAAGTGTGTGTATGTGCACACGCACATGTGTGAGGTATGATCTCAGGGATGGTTTGGGCTGAGTTGAGTCCCAGAGGTCCAAATCATATTTGGCCTGAAGTCTGTGAAGTGAGTAGATACATTACTTTAGTCATTAAATGGTGATTTCTGTATTGGGGTACTAGAAAGAACTGGCGTGCCAACCAGCAAATATATCATAGCACATTATTGGCTTTGTAGAAGGAAGTTCATCTGACTTCACCACTGTGCTTTGAGGATAGATGTGGGTGTTTTTAGTAACTTGTTTTGTGAATGACACTGTTGAAAAGGTGAACACAAAGTAGAAAGCTGCTGTTGGAGAAGTTTGGGGAGATCGCAGGCATTCTGCCAGGACTTTCTGAAATCCGTGTCTATTACTCCTTTTAAAATTACTGTTCCTTGTCTTACGAAGAAGGTGGCCATCCTCAGTCCACAGGGCCCCACACTGCTTTCCTGTTGCTAGGATATGTGGAGTGCTGGGGCCTCGGGCTGGGCTTGTAAAGGTTGGTTTTGTTTATCCAGCTCCGTTGGTCCGAAGCTTGGACTCCCTGTCCCCAGTGTTTGCAGAATGTCATGTGGGCTTGGGAAGGTTTAGTCATTTTTTTTGTATGAGGACGTTCTAGGTTACCTTAAGTACTTTTCTACCTGTAGTATTTGAACTCGATGGTTGTGCTGCTTCTAACACATTCTCACTTTTTACAGGTATGCCTTACACTTCCTCGTACAAAGTGGGATTTCCTACTGCATCATGATCATAGCTGGAGTGGAGAGCATGCATCAGTGAGTATTGACCGTGTTCACATAGAAAAACACCTTTCCCTTGAGTAGAGTCTGATCAAAAATAATAAAAGTCATATTTATTACACCGCAATACTCCTGAAGCAGGATGATTTCTTAGGAAGCAGCACAATATAAGATCTTGGTGTGCATCCCTCTCCTGTCTACGCAAGTCAGTTCCAGAGCTCACCACTGACATTTAAGGATGAGTGAGTCTTTGACACGAAGGACTTGCACTGTGGGATGTTTAGCCCCACCCCTGGCTCCTACCCCTTAGACACCAGGAGAACCCTGATTTGTGACAAAAATTAGTGTTTCCAGATACACGCTTGAGGGCAGGACTGTCCGTTTAACAGCTTCTGGCTTAGTCTCCAGGTGATTAGCAGTAGAGAGCAGAACTAACGTGACCAGATGGAGATTTAGAAGGTAAGTTTAGGACTGAGTAATTAATGGGAACTCTGGGAAGGAAATAAGGTTCCTATTCCTGGCTTGCACACAGAAGAAGTGGAAGCATTTTCTTAAGGTAGGGACCCTGAAAGTAGGGGCCATACTGAGAGGTAACCAGACCCCTGAAACAGTGTTTGGTGTGCAGTCAACGTCAGTGAGTGTTTCCTGAGTCAGTGAGTATTGACTTAAGCAACTGTGAGATGCACAGCCGGAGCTGAGTAGCTACGTAGGCAGCGGGAGGTAGCTAGGCTGGAAATGGACATTTGGGAGCAGCCTTACGTCACAGGTGCTTGATGGAAAACCCAGGACAGAGTCTGCCCGCAGACTCTTCTCCTGGTGATTCTGTAACAGTGACGTGTGACGTGGCATGCATACTGGGTTTCTGGGTTCCTGGAACACATGGCTACAGGGTCGTGCATAAGAAATCAGACCCTTAGCCCTTGACTGGCACTTTCCCAAGTCAATTTTATTTCGTGTCTTCCGTGTCTGGATGACTGGCCATCCCTCTGTTGTCACATGCTGCTTATTGGTTAGTCAGGCTTCTCTGGAGCGGAAGTTACAGTGTCTCCTTCGTATCCAAAAGGATTTATTAGAGTGGCTCACACAGTCTGAGGCTGGACAGTCCCCTCAGTGGCCATCTGCACACTGAAGAGCCAGGGAATGCAGTAGGTGCTCAGTTCTAGTGTAGGGAGGGCCTCAGACCCAGGTGACTGTCATGTGGCTCCAGTCTGAGGCTAAAGGCCTGGCGGCCTCCTGGAGAGCCAGAGGTGTGAGTCCACACTGACACGGGAGCGTGATGCCTGCCAATCATGGCGGGGGCAACAGACCACTCACTCAGGAAGATCTGAGCTCGAGTCTCCTTAGCTGGCTTCCCCTACAGTTTTCTGTTGGCAAGTATGGCAAGCCTGTTGGATGGTGCCGCCCTCACTTAGGGCAGGTCCCTTCTGATTTGCTGTCCCACGTGCCAGTTTTTGGAAATGCCCTGACAGACATACCTAGAAGTGTGCTCTGTGAATCTCCTAAGAATCCCTCAATTCGATCAAATTGACGAGATTAACCTTCACAGATGTGGTCTTCATTGCCTTACACACAGCCCATGCTGGCTTTTCTCTTCCTCCTGTGAACTAACACTTAAAAGTAGATGTTTGGTTTTAATTTTGATAAGAGGAAGAAGAATATTTTGATAATGTTTTGGGTGAAACAGTCTTTGTATCATGACAACCCTGTTTTAAAATTTTTTTATTTATATGTACGTACGAGTGCCTACTTGTCTGCATGTGTACCACATATGTGCAATGCCTGCAGAGTCCAGAGGAAGGTGTTGGGTCCTGTAGAACTGGAGTTATAGCCATGTAGATGCTGGGAACAAACCCAGATCCTCTACAAGAGCCGTCTGTCCAGCCCCTCCAGCCCCATTCACAAAGCCGTGTACAGACAACAGATTCAGGGTGATACTTCATAACTGATGAAAAAGAGTTGGGTTTCTGACCTGGATAATCAAGAAAAGCAGATGAAATTGCAGGAAACAGAGGACTTGGCTGCTGCCACCTAAAGCAAGCGTGATGAGCTTTTGTATTGGAACGAAAGGTCATATCTTGGAAAAAAAAAAAAAATTATGCCTTTCCTGAAAGGCAGGAGTGGCCTGTGGCGTCAACGTCCTAACGCTTTAGACTTGCACTGTACAGGACAGTAGCTGTAGCTGCTGACTGCATGCAGCTCCGCAAGCTTGTTTGTTTGCTTGTTTGTTTGTTTATTAGTTTTTTGAGACAGGGTTTCTCTTTGTAGCCCTGGCTGTCCTGGAACTTGCTTTGTAGCCCAGGCTGGCCTCAAACTGGGAGACCCACCTACCTTTGCCTCCTGAGTGTTGGGATTAAAGGTGTGCCCCAGCTGGCTCTAGCTCTGTTAATTTAAATTCATAAAAATTTAAAATGCGTTTTTTAAGCCCAGCGTGGGATACATCTTTAATCCCAGCACTCAGGCTGAGGCAGGAGGCTTTTGAGTTTGAGGTCATCTTGGATTACATAAGACTGTCATTCAAAACAAAACAAAACAAAACAAAAAAACTCCAATAAACTAGAAACACCAAAACACCCAAATAATAATAATAAAACAATAAGCATTAATCCAATCTCAAGAGGTCACCCCTAAACACATGGATATAAGAGCAACACTAAATGAACTCATTTGGGTGTGTGGGTAGGTCTATGTATATGTGTGTGTAACTAATAATTACGGAAGAAGAGATTGTAAGTTTGAGGGGGAGGGGGCATAGTTGGAGAGCGAGGGGGACGAGAGAAATGATGCAGACTCGGGACTCGTGTGGGATTCTCAACAAGTAACTGTAATAATAAAATCCGGCACTTGAGTTGTAGGAGCTGCATTTCAGGTGCTCGGGAGCCACACACCTGGCGTGTTCAGTGGTGATTTTGACCAGTGCCAATAGAGAACATTTCTACGGTTGCAGACGGTGCTGGATAGCGCTGCTGTGATCACGTGCGGCTTTGTGTGATGAACAGTGCCGCCCACTCAGTATTTCCAGGGAGGAAGTGCTGCTGTCCGGGTGCTCCTACGGGCACTCGAATGTGGTGCTGGGTTCTGACACCGCTGATGGAGTTAGGGGCAGGCGTGGCCTTTTAATCACTGGAGTTAGAAACAAATAGTAGGTGGATAAAATAATTGGGGAAAAATGTGTGTTTTGGTCTCCTTTTTAGTTTGCATCTGTTTCAGTTCACACACACACATACACACACACACACACACACACACACACACACACACACACACACACACACATGACTGTACCTTTTCTTCCTTGTTTCTTCTTGTTAACATATATTCCTTCTTTCCAGTGTAGTTTTACATGGTGTATATATTTCGTTGAAGAGCAAGAGTTTAAATCTTTAACAATGAAAGATTTGTACTTGGAGTGCTTAAAAGTCTTGTGATTTTTGTGAGGTATTCATTCTATGATTGTTCCACTTTCTGTAACATTACCATGTGTTAGTTAAAATATTTCAGTGTACTATAAACTAGATTTCTGTAGCTCTCTCCCCCTTTAAAAACACTCATATGTGTTCTGTCATTCAGATCCATATCTAGATAATTTATTATTAGCCCTAAATCTAGGGGCTAGAAAGATGGATCAGAAATCATCAGTTCTTGTTCTAGCTGGGTGTGTCAGCACTCGGGAGGTAGAGGCAGACGGAATTAGAGGCTAGTCTGGTCTATATAATAAGTTCCAGACAGTCAAGGCTACATAGAGAGACTGCCTAAAAAACAAAACAAAACAAACAAACAGAACAGTTGCTTTTGCAGAGACCCAGGTTCCATTCCCAGCACCTACATGGTGGCTCGTAACCACCTGTAACCCCAGTTCCCGGGGATCTCGTGTCCTCTTCCGACCTTCAGCACAGACATGCATGTGATGCACAGACATACATGCAGGCAAAACAATTCGTACATATAAAATGAAGAAATCTAAAAAACAAAATGAAACAATCTATTCTGGAATTCAGTCTTTTTCCTAGTTGGTATTTTCATGTAGGCTTTGAAACTGGGGAGAGGGGTTAGGTGATGGGCACTAAGAAGTATTTAGAAATGGGGGAGGGATTAGGTGACAGGCACCCAGAAGAGTATTTAAAAACAGACCAGCCAGTGTGTCTTACTGGGCAGTCTTGAGATTCTGGAGGTTGGACAGCCTAAGATCCGGTGCCAGCAGACTTGGTGTGTCTGGTAAGAACTGCTTCCTGGTTCCTATTCAGCCTCTTCTGTCTATGACCTTGAGGTCAAAGGTGCATTGGATCAGGCTCTTGGTCTCTGTGAGGTCTCCTCTAAACCAGTGTATGAAGCTCCAGCCCTTAGGACCTAATCACCCCAAAGCCCCACTTCTAGATATTCTCACGTGGAGATTAGGTGTCAACATGGGATCTTGAGGAACGCTAACTGTTCAGAGCACTATGTATTAGGTTATTAATTCTCCTGATTAATATAGGGTGAACTCGACTTCTGCTGGATTTATCCAGCGTTCTCCAAAGCAGGGTTTGGCAAACTGTCTTTATAATGGAGCAGATAGTGAACGTCATGGTTTGCAGGTCACATAGCCTTAGTCACAACTGTCATACACTCTGTTTTTAGGGTGCAGAAGCCGTGGGCTCAGGAAGGCATGTGGCTGAGCTCCAGTAAAACTACTTCCAAAGGCAGTAATGGGCCAGATTCAGCCAAATTGTTTAATGAGGAAAATCTGGGAGATAGTATGTTCTCAGTAAGTGTCCACTGAATGAATGAATGCATGAATGAATGAATGAGGAGATGGTGGACTTCTGTCTGATAGCAAAGCCTGTCCATGTAACCTCCTAGACTTGCTGTTCAGGCTCTGCTTCCGCCTGCTGCAGAGTCTGGGCCACATGTCAGCCCTGCCCTGCAGGATTCTTGCCATAGCTTCTGCCCGGCCTCTGCCGCCCTCCCTCCCAGAGCAGAGCTGCCTCCTTGATTGTACTCTTGGAGCAGCTGCTGCGGGGCTGCACATTTTTCTCTTTCCCCGGGAGGGAGGGGCTGGG